GGAGATTGGAAAATCAATGGAGAAGAATAAAAGTCAATACAAGATCGTAATGGGTGACTTTAATGCAAAGGTTGGACAACATCATCAAAGCGACGGAGCGACAGTTGGAAAGTTTGGTCTTGGAGAAAGGAACGAAAGGGGAACCAGACTGATGCAATTTGCAAAATCAAAAGGTTTGAAGATCGGAAATACCTTCTACAGGAAGAGGAAGATCAGAAAATGGACCTGGATAAGTCCTAATGGCGAAACCAGGAACGAGATCGATTATATTTTGGCAAACAAAAACATGATCCAGAATGTCAATGTCATAAAAAGGGTAAACATCGGTAGTGATCACATAATGGTCAGAAGTAAGATCAAAATGAATACAAGACTGGAAAGAATGAAAATGATGAGACCAAAAGGAATGAAAGTAAACATCAACGCCCTGAAACAAAGAGAGAATGAATTTCAACTGGAGTTGCAAAATCGCTTTGAAGCCTTGCAAGAAGAAGACAGTGTGGAGGAAATGGCACTTAACATCACAAAGACCATTAAGGAATGTGCTATGGAAACAGCAGGAAAAGAGGAAAGACGGCGAGAGGAGAAGCTCAAGCAGGAAACTAAAAACTGCTAAAAGAAAGGAGAGCAATGGCAAAGAAAGATCTGAATGACCAGGAGAGAAGAGAGTACAACAAATTATGTCAAACCATCAGGAAGAGATTGAGAGAAGATCTTAGAGAGCACAACACCATGCGAGTGAAGGAGGCAATTGAGAGTGGGAAAGGATTGAAAAGAGCAAAAGAAAAAGAAGGCTGCAAAGTTCTTATACCAGCATTGAAAGAGCAAGATGGAACCGTCATCACCAACAGAGAGAGAATACTTGAGAGGTGCGCAGAATTCTATGAAACGCTATACAAAGATGCAGCCCAGAACATCAGAAAAGAAGAAGCAGAGGATGTACCACCAATCCTTGATAGTGAAATCGAGCATGCCATAAAAGGTATGAAGAATAACAAAGCACCTGGAGAAGATCAGATTGTGATTGAAATGCTCAAAGCCGGAGGTGAAGTTGTGAGATCAAAGCTGAGAACACTCTTCAATAGAGTGATGACTGAAGAAAAGATACCCAACGAGTGGAAAAATGCCATTATAGCACTCATATTTAAGAAGGGAGACAAGAAAGACCTTGCTAATTATAGACCAATCAGTTTACTCTCCCAAGTCTACAAACTCTTCATGAAGATCTTGAAGAACAGGTTGAATAACAATCTGAGTGACCACCAGCCGCCAGAACAAGCTGCCTACAAAAGAGGTCATTCAACCATCGACCATCTGCAGTCAGTAGTGCAAATACTCGAGAAAACCAATGAGTATAAAATACCCATTCATATGGCGTTTGTAGACTACGAAAAAGCCTTTGATTCTGTACTGCACAAGGCTGTTTTTGAAGCGCTAAAACAACACAGCGTAGAGGAGAAGTACATCAACATCCTGAAAGAGACATATGATGGAGGCACTGCTCAGGTTCGGAACGAATCACTTAGCCGAAAGATTAAGATCATGAAGGGAGTGCGGCAAGGAGACACCTTGTCACCAGTGATGTTCACAGCAGCGTTGGAAGAAATATTCAGGAGAATGGAAGTTGAAGTGGGAATTAACATCAACGGAGAGAGATTGAACAACCTGAGATTTGCAGATGATATCATCTTATTTGCAGAAAAGGAAGAGGATCTCAGCAAGCTGATCAACGATCTGAACAAGGAAGGGAGAAAAGATGGCATGAAAATGAACAGAAAGAAAACGAAAATCATGTGCAATGAAATAGCTAGGAAAAGAAGAAGGAAAGGAATAATTGTGGATGGAGAACAACTGGAGGAGGTGGATGAGTACAAGTACTTGGGAAGACTGCTAACACCAGGAAATGAGATGGCGAAAGAAATAGACGAGAGAGTAACACCTGCTTGGAAGAGATTCGGACAGTACAGCACGTTTCTGAGAGATCAAAGAATGCCCATGTGTCTCAAAAGGAAGATCATGAACACTGTCATACTGCCATCAATGACGTATGGAGCTGAGACATGGTCACTTACCAACCGCCAAAGAGAGAAACTGGCAGTCACCCAGAGGAGCATGGAACGATCAATGCTGGGTGTTACGAGGAGAGATAAGATCAGGAACGAAGACTTAAGATCAAGAACAGGGGTGAAGGATGTCATCGAGAAAGTGATTGAAGCCAAAGGCAAGTGGGCAGGACATGTAGCACGAATGAAGAACCACGAATGGGCTAAGAAAACGACAGAATGGACTCCGTGGGACAAGAAGAGAGGAAAGGGAAGACCAAAGAGAAGATGGAGAGATGAGATCGAGCAGAAGGCAGGCAGCACGTGGACCCGGAGTGCCCAAAACCGTGATGAGTGGAGAAAGATGTGGAGGCCATCCGCCAGCAGTGGTGTGACAGGCTAATGATGATGATGATGAAAGTTGATGGGAGAAGCGCTGCGCAGAAATATTAAAACGGAAGGTACTTCTAGTAATGCATCATAGCAAAAGCCAAAATCACTTTATGTATGTTCAAAGGCAGAAATTCATTTTTCAGGTGGGGGTAGGGGGAGGCAAAACCCACAAAATAAGCAAATTTGCCACAGTAAGCATATTTTTCAACTAATTAGTTTAAAAAGCCCTGTAGTAACAGGAAATAATATTTATATTTATTCTATTCGGTTTTGAATCGTATTTTATGTTAGATGAATTTTAATTTGATTGTAAGTTGTTTAAATTTGATCGCCCAAGATGCTCAAGCTTTATCTCAATGATGAAAAAGAAGCTCATAGTAAGCTGTTCATGTCACCATACATGAAATGCAAATTTGATATTTTAAACTGTAAGGGTGGAAATGACTTTTGAGATAATGTCGACATGTAAACTTTAAGCTAAACTGAGATGAAGTGTTGTTGGTTGTCTTTTATAGTGGATGTAATGAAAACAATAGCTACTTGAAAGTTGCTTACTTGAAACTTTAAGATTGAGTCAGGTTAAGAAGCACCTGCAAAGTTCAATCTGCAGAGTATGGAAGGTCTCCACAAGTTGTTGTGTAAGCAAGAACAAATAGAAATATGTGTATGTGGGCAACTGTGCAGAAACAGTGTACTATCTTGTGTAAGAGTGTGGGAAACTCCGCAGAACAACTTTCACAACCTTGAATTGTGCCAGGTTTTCAGCTTGACTTGTTGATAAACATGGATTTTTTTAACAGGCTACTATTGTTTGTGCCTTTTGGTATTCTAAGCACTAGGCTCCATTGATTAAGATCTTTGGCTCAGATTTTTTCTTCTTTTCATTATCCTAGCATGCCATGACACAGTTCTGACTTGACCTTGACATGTCTTCAGCATGAGTTTCACATTGGGTGCACATTAGCATCAAAACTGATAATAGGTTTTTTGCAGCACCAAAATCAACATTGTTTAATTCTTAAAATTATATTTTTCTAATTATTGGAGTCAATTATTGAGGCAATTTACAGTTTATTTTTTATCAAATCTCTTGCCAAGGTTGATGGGACTGATTTAATTAAACTTTTTTTGTGTCGGAGAAAAGGGGTGTAATATACCCAAATTTTCAGAGATAAGGGTGTGTTGCAATGCCGGTTATGTCAGAGATAAGGGGGTAGAAATCCATTATTGGAACTCACATGGTATATAGATTCTTATAAAAGTGAACCCGCCCAGGAGTGGCGGCATGGGGGGGCAAGGGGGGGCTTTAGCCCCCCTAGATTTTTGTTAGCCCCCCCGTCGGCAGCCAATCAATTTTTGCTTTCTCAATACCGTCGGCACTTGATGGATGTCACCCGGTTTACATGTTGTTTGAATGACATAAATAATCGAGGAGAAAATTGCACTGGCTGGTTTATGGTTTTCTCAATGGCTTTTCTTCGGCAATTTTTCTAACATAGTGGCATTTATATCCTGTCGCTTCCGTGAAAGCTGTGACTTAATTTCATGGTGCTCCTTCGCATGACCCACAATACCATTGTGCTCCTCTCGGTTGAAATCCCTGTTGCTTCTTGGAATTCATGCGAAACGTGCAGAGATGCTTGATTTGGATCATGTTTTGGACCGTTTCAAGGAAATTTACCCTAACAACAGCAAAATCACGCTGTCATAGATAAAGTCTTTAATGAATTTTCTTCTTAAGGGATTCTTTTTTCGTTTCAAGACATTATTATTGCCAATGAAAACATTTCGATCATGAGCACATTTTGCGTAATAAATTTTTCAAAAAGCACTTCTTGTCCTTTTTCATCAACTATTTTTCAATAGCATTGTTCACCGCATAGCTCGCGACAAACAAATGGTTTAGAGAAAACCGTCGATTAACTTCTTCCAACATAGATAGGAAGAAATATTCAACAATAGGCAATATTTGCCCGTTAAAAGTTGCCGAGAAAATCTCGTGGACTCCGACACTGGTTGGAAAGTGGGGGCGGGGAGGGGGAATTTTGAAAGGGAGAATTTTGCACCCACAACAAACGATTTTGGAAAAATGCTCTATTGCTTGCTCTATATGCTTGCTTGCTTTTGGAAAAATGCTCTATATCGGTGCCCCTTCATTGGAGGTGCTGCTCAGGGGCGTCGCGACTGGGAGGTTGTCACACCCACCCTAATAGTATCTCAAAAAGGAAATTTCAGGTAAAATCCGCTCGGTGGAAGATACGCTTTGGGTATTTCAGAGACCTTCCTGTCATAAAATCAATAAAGGATCAAGCAATCTTAGGTAAAATTGTGCCTCGTGTCCATTTCTCCTAAAGTTTATCAGTAGAAGCGTGAACTGCAATTCACTATGAGCTCCAGATTTTTCTTAACATTCATAAGATGGAGAGAGGAATCTAAATTTAAAAGTAACTGACAACCTGGTATTTTTCAAGACCACGGCGAAATTGTTGTTTTTATCTGCTGTAAGAAAGTTTTGCAAAAGGGCAATAATTTTCAATAGGATTAGGAGGATTGCTTTAGTGAAATCTGCTTTTAACCCTTTCCTGCATAATGTTGTTGCTCAACAACAATCTTTGGAAAAGTTGCTGTCGCTGCGCAGGAGACTAGATTTGTCTGAAAACCATGTGGTCTGATTTGCCACAGGTAGTCTATATGAAAAGTTAATAAAACCTTTATTCTGGCGTTTTACATGAAGTATTGGTTTAGTTGAAGTTTTGGCCTAAACTGATTTCAGAAGGTGTCAACAGCCCAGGTTACAAACAGTCTCTGTACTAAGGTAAGCCTCTTTTTTGCATGATAAAAAATAATTTCTACTTCAGTTAACTTAGTTATACACATTTTCATGGTCGATCAGTGTATTTGTTTGTTATGTTAAATTCCAGGCATGTAGACATGATTGTTGTTGTACAACAACATCATGCTGGAAGGGTCATAATGGTGTACCGTTTATAGACATATTTTGATTTGTATCCAGCATACATATCGAGGTATTTTCTGAAGTCTTGTGGGAAATGGTTGTTCACGCAGCATAAAGGGAGGTAGGGAGGGTCTGGCTAATTGTTTGGGGGGTTCTGGGGGTAAGAGGGCTAGGGAGCCAGAGAGATTATTTTTTATAGTTTTTGAACGGATATAATAACTTAGATAAGTTCAAGTTGTTTCAAATAAATCAGGAAAGATTGATTGAATTGTTTTATTTTCATCCCAGATAAACAAGGTTCAATTTGCAAGATGGCAAAGAGCATACCAACCACTTCGTTTTATGGAAGCAGGAGAACAACAATTCGAATAACGAATCATGGGGTTGAGGAAAAAGAAGCAAATTTGGGAATTATTGTCCCTGATGCTTTTAACAGTGATATAGAAGATGAAGAGAGTGATGAAAATGAGAACAATGATGTCATTATCAGAGGAGACATGAATATCAGTAATGATGATGATGGTGAAGACAGTGATGATTGTGATGATTATCATTATGATGTTAATGAACATGGAGAGAACAATGTTTTCAGCTTCCCAGAGAACCCAGTTCCTGATATTGTAGTCAATACCACACCAGAAGGCACATCAGTTACCAGAAAATCAGCTACAAAAAGCAAAGCAACCATGAAAATCCCAATGCCAAGATGGCGCAAGAGGGAAGCTGCCGTGGTTAACAGTGTGTTCTGTGGAGAACCTCTACCAAGTCCACCCAATGAAGTTTTGACACCAATAGAATACTTCAAAAACTTTTTTGATGATCAGCTGATAGGTCACATATCTGAGCAGACAAACCTGTACTCTGTGCAAAAAAATGGACGTCAGTTGCTACAACAGCTGATGAGATAGAGCAATATATTGGTATACTTCTGCTTATGGGTATTTACAAAATCCCTCAGTATAGAATGTACTGGTCAAGAGAACTGAACATTTCCAGCATTTCAGAAACAATGCCTGTAAACCGCTTTGACAAAATCAAAAGCTTTTTTCATTGCAATGACAACTCAAAAAATGTGCAGAGAAGTCACCCAGAGTTTGACAAACTCTTCAAAGTAAGGCCAGTGATAGATTCTGTTCAAAATAAATGTAGGAAGGTTCCACAAGAGGAAAAGCACTCTATTGATGAACAGATCATTCCTACAAAGGGCAGGTCTCCAATAAGGCAGTATATTCCCAACAAGCCACATAAATGGGGAATAAAGGTTTGGGCACGCTGTGGAGTCAGTGGCATTGTTTATGATTTTGATGTTTACACTGGTGCTTCTCCAAATGGGAATCTAGATGAGTCATTGCAAAATTTTGGCGTTGGTGGTAATGTGGTGGCTCGCCTATCATCAACGCTGCAAAGAAATGTTGGCTACAAGCTTTATTTTGATAATTACTTCTCTTCCGTCGCACTGATGCAGTATCTTCAAAAGGAAAGGATCTGGGCTGTAGCAACAATACGGCAGACAGACTGAAAGGTGCAGAGAAAGTCCTAGAAGACAAAAAAAGCTTGAGCAAGAAGGGAAGAGGGTCCAGTGACTGGTGTGTTGATGCCAACAGTAATGTTGTGATTGTTCGTTGGATGGACAATGGAGTTGTTCAATTAATTTCAAATTACATTGGCAAAGATGATGGTTCCAAGGCTCAAAGGTGGTCAGCTAGAGAAAAGAAGTTTATAACTATATCTCGACCTCTGATGGTTGAAGAGTATAACTTGCACATGG